TAAATATATGTTAGCAATAGCATTGCCATCAATCTTATTCCATTTTATATTATCAGTGATCTCCGCGGGCCGGTCCGTAATTGCTACCAAGCAATTGTTTTTCTTTAAGATTGTCTTAATTCTCATTTTCTATAGTGAGAAATTGCTCCCACTGAACCTTTCAATCTTGTACTTTGCTACTATTTTATTCACCGTGATTTATTTAGCTATCACTGCTTCACTGATCTGCAACATATACAAAAATAATATTGTGTGAATAATACTTCACTAAGTAGGTTCCCAGGAAAGATTGGAGGGGTCATAAATAGTCCCGTTTAAAATCCAATCTCCTTAAACAGAACTTTCTAACTATATTTAATCACCGCATTAACTTTTTTTTAAACACCAACAATAATGTATGTGAACAATACAGTGGGATGAATAGTGATATATAAATGAATAGTGTTGTCGACGTGAATGGTAATCGTATATATGAATAACTTTTGTGTATTGACAATATCAATCAAGATGGTTTTGATACCACTGTTAGAATACTAACATGGAAACCCGACAAGATAAAAAATAAGGGATATAATAAAATAAGAAGTAAGACATATAACAATTTGCATGGTTCACCTAATTTAGTTGCATCCACATGCAAGTATATAAAAATTTTACTAAGTAATGTGAGAATTATAACCTCTCTCTATTAATAGAAAAACAACTGAAATCTCTTTATTACTATGAGAAAACACTTCACTTACTCTCTCACAAATACCTTATAATTTTGTGGGATTACTTTCCCTCTCTCACTCTTCTCTTTTTCTCTCTTGTTTCTCTCTTGTGGTATGTATAATAAGCTTGGATGCATTGCCTATTTATAGGCAAACATTCATGCAAAAGACAAAGAATAAGTGAGAGTAGCAAGTGACACTAATTGACACCAATTAATGCTATATATGGTACTAATTGATGCTTGCCTAACTGGCTTTACATTTGGAAGCATTTTACCACTTGGGATAATTCCACTAACATTTTACTATTATTATTTTTTCATAAGATTTTCAAGCATGATATATAGCTTGAATGCAGGAGAAAAGCCAATAAATTGATGGAAAGACAAACAAGCAACACAAGTCAAATGACTTGATTAATTTAGGGTTTGGTTTCTAACTGAGATTTTGCAAGTTGTTTTATGCATTTTCTTTACTTCATGCACAAGTAAGACTGATTAATGGGCTAACAATGAAGAGCGGTCGTTACTTGAAGTACACAGATCTAGAGGTTTACACGCTCAAAGCCTTTGGCACTTTCTAGAGAATAGTGTGTGTGTGATTGTGTGTGTGTGTGTGTTAGGTTTTTATTTTTTATACTCTTTTATAGTTAAAAAATTTCTAAATAAAAATAATAAAGTGCATGTAAATCATAGTCAAATAAATTGATAATCATATGTTATAATGAATAAAATAAATAAATCATAAAAGATAACTAAAAATAAAAATAAAAAAAATTAAGAGAAATATATAGATCAAAATATTTAATCTTACAAGACAGGATTTTTACCTAATTATGTGTGCTAAATTATGTTTATTAAAATAATTTTTTTATTCAATTAAATAATAATAGAAATAGACACATTAAATTAATTAGATAAAATAAAAGAGAAAAAACATTTTACAAGGCTGCACAAATTAGAGATATTATCTAATAATAAATATTTTTAATTTTAAAAATAAAACTCATCTATACAAAAGATAAAAAAAAATTATTGATAAATCAGAATAACCTCTTCAAAAATTAAATGCATATAAAATAATTAAAAAATACTTGTAATTTAAAAGATACTCTCCAAACAAAATAAAAGAGAGAATAGTATTAATCTAAAAAAAATAAAAAAATCTAAAAAAAATAAAAAAATTCTAAAAAAATAAAAAGTATTAATTTTAAAAAATTAATTTTTTTTTAAAAAAAAGTCATGCTAGCCTGCCTGACTCATTTTGTTAAAACCCGCTCGATTGAGCCTTTTATTATGTTTTTGCAGCAGGGACAAATGACATGTTGTCCGACCTATTTTTTATTGGATTCAAACAACGTGTTGTCTATATTTCCAGCCACTAAGGTGGTCAGAAAAATAGAGTTAATGGTTTTTTCAATCTAGAAAACAAATTTTCAACCTATTATTTTACTCACAACACTTACAAAACATCATAGACAATATGATAAATCCATTTATAACCTCGAAAAACCTGAAAAAAGGTCTCAAAACCTGAAATTAATTTAAAATAAAAAATCTTACCAAAATCAAATCTATTTTTCTTGGTAATTTTAAAGTAAAAAAACCCTCTAATGTTAGCTCTCCTCGTCAAACGAAATAATTTGACATCAATTTTAACTGTTTTGATTGCCAGAATCAAGCCAATGAATAGTTTCTCTCTCTAGAGTTGGATTCCACCAACTTACTCTCACTTTTCTCATACAAGGGGTTAAAAAATAAGAATAATAAAGTTTAGGATCAAAATTGAATTTTCCCTTTCATTTGAAAATCAAAGGGACCTAACATCTATAATTTATAAAGTATAAGGACAATAATAAATACTTTTTCTAAACTTTTTAAAGCCATCCATTTTCTAGTTATTTTTTTCTTTGATCCCTTGTCTTTGAATCTCATATTCCCCCTAATAAATTGGCTTATAAATTAGTCTAATATTGGGCTAAATTAAAAAAAAATTAAAAAAAATGGCATTGTAAATAGTCTCTCTACATTACCAATCCACAATGTATTTTGCATTATGAATCCCTAATGTGTTTTAGTTTTTTAGTTGATAAATTATATCTTAATACCTCACTTAATATATTAATTTTTTAGGTTAAGATAATTATTTGATATGATATGAAAGCTATAATTTCTAAACAATTATGAGTTTAAATTTCACCATCATCATTCTCTCATCTAATTACATCTGATTAAAAAGATATTGTAGTGTGAGCCTATGCAAGTAACAAGTATAAAAAAATTTTATTTAAAAAAATATATAAAAAATAATATAAATTATATTTTATAATTTTATCAAATTAAATTTTTATATTTAAAAGGTTATTTCACAGTATTGAAGGACACCAGGAGTTGAGCCTAATCAAAGCAGTGCATAGTTTTCTAATATGCTAATTACGGATTAATGGACCTGATTTAATTGAAATTGTTTTGATAAAAAAAATATTTTTTTCAATTAACCCAAACTAAATTTAATGATGAATTAGCGGATCAATGGATTAGCCTTCTGGATCGGAATCCCTTTTGGGCTAGAGAATAAAAAAGGAAAAAGATTGGAGAAAGCCCAGCCCAGAAGTAGGCGGCGATTCAATAAGTCTCGGGTCTCGTCTCGTGGTAAGCACGCAGCGTCCGCAAGCGGTCAAGCAATCAGTGTATCAGAGAAAGCTAAAAGAAGAAAGGAAATGGCGTTCTTTATGAAGGGAGAGCCTTTGGTGGCGAAGCTAGCAGCTATAGCCAAGTTCGGCGTTTTTCCAGCAGCCATGGCTGCCGCCCTCTTCTATTCTCCACCTGATTACGCTTTCTCCAAGAAGGATAGCTCCTCTAAATAATTGATTCGGTTCGTATGTCTCCCCTAATCTATTTTTTTATATGATCGTTTCCTCTCTATTATTATTATTTCTATATCTAATCTGGTTATTGAAAAAATTTGGAGATCTGGACTCTCTTCGATACCTATGCACGAGCATCCTCCCCAATGGGGCGGCCCACTACACAAAAGTACCATTGCGTTTACCACTGAGATGTTATGATCTAGTTGTCGTTGATATAGGAATAAATTTACCCTTTACCATCCATCTAGGATTTTGGGAGCAACTGGCAGTTTGTTAGTGCGTTAGATACCTACATGATATCCATCTTTCATTGAGGATTCAGTCAATCTGTTATTTGTTTTTGATAATAGCTTATACTAGGTTGTTATGTGGTATGGAGGGTAGTGCCTGCTCATTTGTCCTCCCATAGAAGTAGTCGTTACGTCCATGATTTGTTGATATTGTTTGTTAGGATTACATTAATAAATTTTTATGAATAGTTGTTGTTGAAATGTTCCTGAATTAATTGTGTTATTCACTGTCTAGATGGCCTTGGCCGTCTCATATCATACCCAAAAGTGTTGCTTGGAGTTATTTTGTTGCTTCCATGTAAGAGATCAGGTTTAATCAATCTATGATGTTATGAGACCTAATTTTTTGTTTGGATGCTTAGGTTTGTAATTGATTTTGGGATAGACCGTATGAGCTATATGTAGAAGCTCATTGATCCCTTGTTGGTGGCAGGTAACAATGATTTTGTCATGCTGTCTGTAGCAACTTGAGGTCCTTAGGGATGGCTGGTATGCGTTTTTTCTCATTTCTTGTGGTATCGAGGGTAATGCCTCCCCATTTAACCTGCCTCATAATGTGGGTGGTAGTACAGCTTTAGTGATGTAGATTGTCTTGAATTTTCAGTTTATGATTGCATTGAGTGATTTACATATACTTAATTAGCTTTCCTTGGTGGATAGGTGCATGATTTTTGTGTTCTAGAGAGAATGCATAGACTTTTGGTTTTGAACAAGTTCCGGTTATGCAGTTTTATCTATTTTCTCGAACTGCAACTAGAAAACTCTGTTACTTTCCCCCTGTTTTCCCTTTAAGTCAGTTGTGAAACTCGAGTCTAGGATTCAACCTTTTCAAATCTCTCCTTTCCTCTATACAAATACATCAAGGACTCTTATCTGAATCCCCAGAGTCCTTGAGTTGCTTAATTGTATCACGAAAGCAAGACCATGTTGTGATTGATGCATTGACTTTATTCAATAAAAGATTTGTCCAAGTGTGATTTCTGCTTGACTGATGGGTTGATGGCTTAGACTTTAAGCCCTCTAAACATGCCAGAAATAGAAATCACAGCCTGAGACATGTCTCACCTTTATGTCTTCTTTTTTGTGCAGGAGGCGCCTCGAAATGCAGTGAATGAATGTGCACTCCCATGATGTAGTTGGGCACATGTAATAATACACCCATCATAAGATGTAATAATTGTTGGATTTGGTGAGCAGGTTTTCAGTTAGTTAAATGTTTGTTTGTTTTGTTTTTTAATTGAAGAACTTTTAGTTGTGATATTTCTCAGAACCCTATGATGGAGCTTAGGGCTTTTCAAATGCATAACAATTGGAATTCTCACATTGCTGAATGCTCATTAGATCTCTGTCATGTAATGAGCTCAGAACATTTGCCAAAATCATATACCATAACTGTTTTCCTTGAGTTAGCACAGAGTGATGAATATTTGTTTTAATTAGCTATTTATTTACTCGGCTTTTTATCATCAGATAGATTACTTCTAAAAGCATCTGTGAAGAGCAGGGTTTTGAGTTTTCAATCCCCAACTCTGAGATTGGTAGTTGCAAGAGGAAAAAAACTTGCGCCTGACTGCTTTCAATGGCTTTATTTTACAAGGTGCAATCTTTCCACATGGTTTTGTCAAGATTTATTACTAAAAAAAGTGGATGGTTTTTACCGTCATTTTTCCTAATTGTCAAAGTAAGCAAGCTTATCGTGCCCCCAGCATATAGCATATCTTGATTAGCAAACATGCCAGACTGAAAATACAAAGAGCAATCTTATATGGAGAATATAATTAGACTGAATTCAGTGTTTGCAAAAGAGGATTACACGCCTGTTCTGAATATGAAGTGGAGCGATGAGTTGTAATAAAACCCCCTCAGCAAATAATAAAGAACAAATAATCAATTTTCCTAAAACAAGAGGACTCTATAGGTAAATTAAAATAATTAAAAATAAGAGGTTATCTGATGGATGTGGCAGAATCCAAGCCATGTCATGATTCTAGGGTTGTTTGGAACTCTGGGACTGCCTTGAATGTTCTTCCTCCTCAGCCTGCGGGGGTGGTGTCTATAACAGGAGTATAAAAATAAAGCGCATCAGAAAAATTAAACAACGTTGTGATCTAAAGTAACTGCAATTAGTCTACAGACTTGTAATTAATGAGAAGATGATACAGACATGGTAACTAAAGAATGAACCAGGTTGGAACATCATGGGCCTTTTTTCTTCTGTTTGGGGAGCTTGAGGATTCCAACTCCATGGTGTTAGAAACGAGTTTTCAGAATATAAGAAAGATATCAGACTTTGTAGTTTCTTTTCCCGTTGTTGTCTGCACAGAAATTCCTGGTAATCAGTCCGAGCACGAGCTTGTTCTGCTGTTATTAACGGATAAAAATAATTCTGCTGTTCGAGGCCATATACATGGTGTCCTAGATATTGTTGTGACAACAGGGGATGATTCGGTAGTAATTGCTGTGGTGGTTCATCAAAGACAGCCGCAGGATTTTGCTGACCCTGTGTTGGATATTGCAGGTCATGATGCTCCTGCAATGATTGCTGCTGCTGCATTTTGTATTCTTCTTTAGTCAAACCTAGTTGTTTTTGTCGGGGCTTCTGGTTGCTGGTTTGAGGACTCTTTCTTCTTGATCTGTTGTTCATGTTTATCCAACACTAGCACTTAGATCTCTACCATTGAACAGCCCGTCCTATGCTGCTTCGTATTTCTAATTAACTAGTGTAAGGTTTAAGTCCTCCTGTAATATTTAGGGCTTGCAGATTTCTTATTTAGTAGCTGTTACGTACACGAATACATGATGTAATCACCCCAGTCAATTTTAGGGTTTGTACCGCCATTGCTATTAATCTTATATTTCGAATGTAGTATTTTCTTGCTTTGCAAAGGTGGCCAAGCAATTTTAGCTTCCTGTTTTGCAAAGGTGGCCAGGCATGTTTAAGTTTGTAATTGGTTTTTTGTCCCCAGAAGCCTCGATTGGCCTTGAACCATATAAAGGTAGGGTTTGGAGTGAATTAAATCCTAACATAATAATAATAATAATAATAATAATAATAATAATAATAATTCACAAGTCCTAACCGTTGGATATTTATATATAAATAGGCTTGGTGCCTCAAATCCATGAACCATAATCCAGGTCCAATTACTTGTTCGTGCAATAAGTCAATAGAGATGGGCCACATGAAAGCTGGGCGGTATGGACCAGAAAGGTGAAGAGATTCCGCAACAACTCGAGATCTCAACGATTTTGTCGTTTGCAGGTTCGCCATTAGGAAATTCTTAACCATATTATTAAACTTGGTCCAATCCATTACGTTATGGTGGCCATATTGTTCCTGGAATAAAAAGTAGTATCACACGTGATAACAAGAGCAATTTAATCTTAACTGGTAATTTAAACATATCATATATATATATATATATATATATATAAAATATTTATCATGAACTTTAGATAGAATTATAATAATATTGATATTGAAAAGTGTCAAATTAGTAAACAACAATATTATTCCATATTGATGGTGTATAATTATAGTTTTAAGACAATGATAAATTTTTTCATTCAAAATGATTTGAATATAATGATATTATGTATGAGTAGTCGACTAAAATCTATGTGTGTCACAATTTATGTTCGTCCTTCAAATTCAATTAATAAAGATAAAAATAATTTATTATCGAATAATTTACCATGAAAGATAGATGATCGTCTACTCATATTGAACATCCATTACACAGGATTCCATACACTCAAGCTTGTAAATTGTTTGTTCATGTTGAGCATTCATATTTACATGATAGCATTCACATTTACATGATGATCAAGGTAAGCATTATTATGAGCATGGAGAGCATGCCTATATAGCATGAGTCATAATATATGTCTACCAAACTAGTCGACATTTCTATCCCGTGATTGTAAAATCAACATCGATCAGAGGATGTATTTACTGGTATTATAAGTAATTTGATTTTTATATATTTTCAATTTAGGTTTAATTTAATTATAATTAAATTTTATATTTTAGTGCAATTATAATTGAATTTTTTACACGGGAAGAGACCATTATTTACTATCATACACACAGATGGGTGCGATTATATGAGCGAGTTCAACCATATGTGGTTCAAAATGATTTTTTGTATGTTAGTTATTTTGATCACATTAAGCTTGACCATGACTTGATCCATGTATTAATTAGGCAATAGATAAGAAAGGCACACACATTTTATTTTAGGCATTGAGAGATGACAAATACACTACAAGATGTGGCATTTTTGCTTGGATTGTCTATTGATGAACGAACAATTAAATCTGTTGGTGTTCGTAATGGGATTGCATTATGTAAGTAATCGTTTGGATTAACACCCTTTTTTTTTTAGATTAAAGGGAGGTAGCATACTTCTTTAATGGATTAATGAGATATTTTCGACATCACTAGATAATGGTGATAGGGAGGTCTTACAGAGGTACAAAATCAATTATGATTTAAATATGTTGATTATATATTATAATTATGTTAATTATTATAATAATTTTATTTTGTTTGCAGGTATGCCATAACATGTACACTCTATTTGTATGGTAGTGTATTATTTATTGACCTCATAAAGAGATATGTTCATTTGTTTTATTTGATGCTCCTGAAAAATCTCGATGATATCCCTATATATAGTGAGGGATATGCTGTATTGGCATCCTTGTAAATGCATTTATGTCTTCAATGCATGAAGGAGATCAAAAGGGCCAGTGAATTTTTGTTAATTTTATAGGTATAAATCGAAAAAATCTAAATAACTATTAGATTTGAATTTTTTTCATGCATAAAAAAATTAATAAAATGTTTTTATTTTAAAAAAATTATGGTCGTAAGAACATCTTTATATGGGTAAGCCCTAGATAATAAGATTGTCAGATATAAAAGTCTAGACTATGAAGGTTGCCCTTTATATCCCACTAGAATGCAAGTATTGTAGTGCTATTTTTCTATTTATATACATTTATATTGTGTTCTTAAAACTTTGAAAAACTTAATTAAACCGAGATGTGTTTTAATGGTAAGTGGTGTGCTAGACAAGTTTTTAAAAATAATTCAGCATATACGCTAGCATTTTATTAAAGTAATCTTAATAAACAACATGCTATCCAGATATTTTTTGAACTATTTATTAAATAAAATAATTAATTGCACTAAATTATTGTTGTTTGATATTTATTTAACTTATAATCTGTAGGTCATTTGAATGTCTTATTTGGAAGAAAGATTGGTAATTGTTCCAACTATATGTATCGGTATAATGGATATATAGACAACAATAGTCCCTCTAATATGTTTTGAGATGTTCGAGCTACATTGTCTACATCAGGTAGCGCAACAGTTAGACTGCATACATCACATTCTAGTCGATATAAATACGAGTGATGCTTTGCACATCATTATTTGTAAGGATAAAAATAATGATTATAACTTATCAGGTTGACATGAGCTTATATATCAGAGTGAGAAGTATAAAAGAACAATATATTTATATAGATGCATCATATGATTACTAACGAAAAGTATATGATTTTGTACCTGAGTATAACATGACAAATCATTAATCCGAATCTTGAGTGGCATCCTCCACCTAGATATATACAGCATGAGCAACATGTCTAATGGATTCAATAACACATAAATAATGAAGTCTTTTTATGATTAATATATATTAATTGTTATGTTTTAAGTATATATCTTTTAATTTAATATTAATATTAGATTAACTTAAAATCTCTGAAGAAAAGTCAATTCTTGATAATGTCATGACATAGAATAAAGTTATTCAGACAGGAGCTGGAGCAAAAGCTTATTTCAGTTATGCTATTAATGAGTTTAGATTATCTAATTCATAACATAAATGCAGATAGATAGATGAGTTATATTTATATTTGTTGGGATTATTTGAATATTGTATAATTGAAGATAGGTAGATGAGTTATGTTTATATTTTTTGAGATTATTTGAATATTGTATAATTGAATTATTTTATATTCATTTTGTATGTATATATGTTTTTTTTTTTTTTGCATTCCTTGAGCTAGTTGTAATTATGGACTATGAAAATATATTTAGTTTAGTTAGAATTTATATACTGCAATTATTGTGGTTTTTTGCATGTTTTTTTTAAGCAAAACAAAATTTTAGGTATAGTTATTATAAAGTGTATTCTATTTAAATTTTGATAAAATTATAAATATTTTAATTTTTTAAAATTATAAAATATATAAAATTTTAAATTATTAAAAATTATGATTTTACAAACTTTTTCAAACTTAAAATATAAAAATGATCCTAAACCTTACCACAAGCAAAATAAAATATAAATAAAATATAAAAATGACTCGAATTTTTTACTATCATATTAATTATTATATTTTTATAACGTATGTATTTCTGAACATCGACATCTTCAAACTTTGATATTTTTCTGAATCTTTTTAAAATTTTTTTATTTTAACATTTAATTATATTTTAGATGTTAATTCTCCAATTTATCGCTATATAGGCATATAATTATCATAAAACACCTTATGCCATTTGCCATCGACTTTTTTAATAGTAGCCTATAAAGAGAACTTTTAGTGTATAGGGACCAAGCTACGTAATTTAGGCATGGCAGGGTGAGGGACCCAATCCCATCATCAATAATAAATTAATTTTTTTTTAAAAACTCGGACTCTACGCGTGGACAACCTCCAATCCCATCCATGGCGTCATATCAAACAGAACTGTTGCGTATCACTGAAAGGCTGAGAATCTCCATGCCCCCATAAAGCAAGCAGCCAACAAATCTCACAGCAATCCTTCGACAATAATTATTACAAGAACTCCTCAATCTTTACATAGATACGTGCATGGATGAACTTGCGAATTGCAATGGTGAGGCTACATCTTAGAGGAGCTTTAAAACATACTACGATGTTGTATAGATGGTAACGCTTATATCATACTATCATCTATCACAGCAATAATTAATGTTTTTTGGGGCCTTGAAAATCCCGTTAAGGATCCAATGGCCAAGATTCTCCAGGCAGTCTGATGGGAGTATCTAACATCATCTGCAAGCCGGCTCTGCTAAAACCAATTGAAGTGGACATGTCATGGATCATGGTATCTGCAGCAGAAGCAGATCCTGAGAACCCCGGAACATTACTACTACAATCCATCTCAAAAAACATGGGATTGTTTAGGTATGGATGTGGGTGAGTGATCTTATCCACACCACCGAAGGTAGCATCATGGGAAAAGCTTGCTTCAGTCTTCCACTGTTTAGAAACAGTACTGAATTGTTCCTTCAATGTGCAATCTTGATATGAGAGGATGGACTTGAGGAGCATCGATGGTGACTGGTTGTTGTTGTCCGTGTTCGTGTTTTTATTGGTTGATGTGGCTGGGCTGTTGATGGAGATGGGAGTGGGTGAAAAGGAGGGCTGCAAGCCATTTATTGACACGACATGGGATTGGGAAACAAGAGGGTTTGGTAGGCTCTTGAGGTCATTTTCTTGGTGTTCAGTAATCAGAAAAGCGTTTTGGAGGGCATCAATTACTTTGTTCTTGGATTGACATTGATCAAAAAACGATGCTGATGATGCATCAAGCAATGGAGGCAATGAACCTGAATTGGCTGGTGAATAGACTTCCAAGAGGTGGTAGCCTTGTTCAGCTTGGAGAAACACATCTTTCTTCTCTCCTTTTTTGTGAAATATCCTGCAAATCACCCATTCATCCTGAAAACAATAGCCATTTCCAAGGAATATGAGAATAAAATATTAACTATCAATTACAATAAACCTTATTACTTGCCATCTTCCCTTGATATAAGCCCGCAACAGTGTATCATGGGGAAAAAGCCACAGCATAATGCAACATTAATTGTATGTATAAAGTTTAAATACAAGAGTTAAATTTTGAAC